ATTAGTGCCATTACTAATTCTCTGTGATATTTTTAAAATCACACAAAGGTGTGGTGCCACATGCTTGTAATCTCAGCACTTGGTAGGATGAGGCAGCATGATCACTTGGAGTTTGAAATGAACCTGGGCTCCATTGTGAGTTCAAATCCAATCTAAAATACAAAGTGAGATCCTGTCTCAAAAATCAAACAGTAAAATAAAATAGAATAGAATAATAGAATAAAATAAAATAAAATGATCACATATGTACGAATTATTGTGATTTACTAATTCAGAAGTATTAGCACTGGCAGAAAATATGAAAAATTATAATAATATGCAAAAATATACTTAAAAGCTACTGTGCAACTTAAAAATTATTTGGAAAGAAAATACTGTTTCTTAAATAATTTTTACTTTTCAAGGATTGATCAAATGAGACCAGAAAAAAGACTGGGCATCTAAAACTGAGCTATAAATTGTTTTTACTGTTGTTAAAATCTTAATATCTACAGTGTGATATAAGTAGCAAAATCCAACTACTGGGCTACAAGCCTTTGGCTTTTACTATTTGAAACATGTGGAAAATACTACTATATACTCTGATCAGCAAGGGAGCTTTGATTCGCTCCATTTCTGACCTGAGCCAGTTCTCTCTTCCTTAGGCAACCTGGTGGTCTCCTGCTCCTGGGGGTTCACCGTAATGATGATGAACTTTCTGTGGACACCCTATCCACACAGCACACTGCAACCCAGAACTCCTGGACTCACCGCTACCCTCCTGCCTCAGCCTCCTATGTAGGTAGGACCACAAGCATACCCCACCACACCGGGCTATGAACTATATATTGTGAAACTTCACAATCACAGAAAATAGGGCTGGGGATCTAGCTCAGTGGCATAAGTGCCTGCCCGCCAAGCAAAAGGTTATGAGTTTAATCCCTGGTAGAAAAAAAAAATCACAGAAAATAATATTTCTCCTTAAAATAGGGCAGTGGAGTCGAGTCAGTGAAAACGATGGAGGCAAGAACCCCCAAACTGTATTCACTGGGATATCCATTGGAAAGCCTGGCCTTTGTTCCTGGGTGCCACATTTCTGTCTCCCTGTGACTTAGCTGTACTTTGCAGTTTCCCAAAAGTAATTGCCTTTGAGAATTTATACTTAAGTGTCACTCTACTGCACCAATCTAGAACCCCAGTCCTCTTATTATTTTTTAGTTGTCCCTCTGATATACTACATCTCACCACGATCATTACGAATTATTGATCCTCTACTTAAAAGCTATAGCAACCTCAGTCATAGCACCGTGCCGAATGTGGTGACCTGTGCCTGCAATCCCAGCTTTTGATAGGCCAAGGCAGGAGGATCACTGTAAATTCGAAGTCAGTCTGGCCTATAAAGTTAGTTCAAGGCTAGCCTGGATTGTATAGCAAAAAATTGTATCAAAATAATTATAATAATTATAATGATAGTAAACATGTGCATTCCAAAGAAGAGAAACCTGATTGATTTTAAAGGAATGAGTGACACAGTAAATACAGTATTTAATTTATTAAGAACTAATATTCCTACACAAATAAACTAAAATCATAGATATATGTCAATAAATTGTATAAAACAGAATTAAAATAATAAGGAAGACAAAAACTACAATAGTTGCCTTTCATTTGCTTTATTTCTTGATCCCGATTTTACAAATGGTAATCTGACATCTCCAAATCAATATCTATCCGAATGCCAGTTTACCCTATTCTGGATCACACAATAAGAAGGAATTCTCTCTAATGCATTTGACAAATACTAAACGTCTAATTAAAACTTGATACTCAAAAATGAAGTGACTCACAAACTCATATTTAGTTTAAACCACATAGTGAAAGGAGCATTGAAACATGAAGAAAAGAGAAAAAAAAAAAAAAAAAAAAACAAGAAGTAAGGGAGGAAGATTTGTAGATAGCTAATGTATCAAATAAACAACAACACAATGATGACGTGTATCTCTAGTCAAAGGCATGAAAAATAGCATGTTGAACTGTTGTAAAGTTGGGAACTCTAACAGCTATTGCCTGCTCCTATAGCAGAATGTAGCTTTCTGAGCAGCATGCAAGGAAGAGCTGTCCAGCAGATTCCAGAGGAGGGGACATTGGCAAAGTCTCAGAAATTGTTAAAAGACACAGACCTATGGTAGACCACATCCTGAACAACGTTAAGCTTCATAAGCTAAGACGGCAACAGACTCCTTCCTAGAAAAATGAAATCCAAGTAAAATCATCAATTTTCTATTGCTTTTCTTGTTTACTTCCCCTTTATTCTTCTCATGTTAGTACTTTTGTTACAAGTGCCTTTCTGTCAGTGGAGTCCAATTTTAGGATAATGAAAAAAGAAAAATTAAGAGAGAAGGTCTGTGTCAGGTGGGAGGAGTGGAAAAAGATGAGCTCTAGACAAATTCAAAACAGGACTCTAGACTCCGCTGTACTACCAACCAGTCTTGTGAACTTGAGAAACTTCAGGTTCATAATGTACCAGGTGAATTAAGCAAACCCTATCTTGTAGAGCTACACAATCTACATATACACTATAGTGCTAAAGGACTGGAAAATATTCTAAAATATTGGCCCCAATGTGAAAAATAGTAGCTGTATTACCATTTTATCCAGATAAAATTAACAGATAAGGATTATTTTAATCCTGAAGCTATCAGATAATATGGAATATTCTCATGTTAAGGGCACTGAATAACTAAAAATTGTCTAGGAAGTAATACTGTGTATTTTTCCGGTAGGAGCACTTTTTTTTTTTTTTCTTTTTTCCTTTTTATTGGTACCAGGGATCGAACTCATGACTGCCTGCTTTCAAGGCAGGTGCTTATGCCGCTGAGCTAAATCCCCAGCCCCTTGTAGGAGGCTGGGGATTTAAAGTGTGGGATTTTAATTCACAGTTAACTGAAGTCATCTTCCTAGAACTGATGTCAAGGCAGAAATACTAAGAGCCCTCCCAATGGTCCTTCCATGCAAACCATGTCTGTTTACATTTGTTATTCCTCTGAAAATATTTGCCCTCATTTAAAAATTTTCCAAAGTACATTCAATGTAACCTGATTAAAGGCCTTCATTACACAGTTAGACCTAGCTCTCCAGTTCAAGATAAAGTGTCAATGTGTAACATGGCTGTCGTCCGGGATTCCATCCTGTTTCACAAACCAGACAAGCAAAAAGTGCCAAGGTTCTGGCGTCTGTACACATTATCTCCAAGAATTGTTGCTCTCATTTCTCAGACCTAATTGGAGAAAATAGAGAAAATGTAGTATGCAGACCTTGTTCAACAGCACTGGAAACTGATTCAAGATACCTTCCATTCCTTTCCAAGTGGAATTTTGTTATCCTTTGTCCAAAATCCTACAGGAATGGTTGGTTCCCAGAAGTTTCCCATAGTGTACGGAATGGCTCTGCACTTTTGCCAACCCTTTCAAATTCATATGCTGAGGACCTGAGATGCAGGTGGTATTATGTAAAGGTGGGTCTTTTGGGGGATTTCTAAGAATGGTTCCCTATGTTGGAATTTGTATTCCTGTAATAGGAGAGTTCTTGCTCTCCCTACTTCTCTCTTCTTCCTCTTGTTTCTGGCCACCCTCCCTCTTTCCACCTTTTCTCTTTGCACTACTCACTCCTCTTCCTTCCCTGACTCCTCCACTTCTCTTTCTATGCCTCCCACTTTCCTTTGTTCTCTACATCTCTCACTCTCACAATTCAATGCCATCATGTGAGGCAAAATCAATTAAAAAAGAAATTGTTCCATCAGTTATCCATAATATAGTGAATGTTTGTACTTCTCTGCCAGCCATTCCAAAATCACACATTAAAACACTAATCCTCAATGTGTAAGTATTGGAAGATGGCTTTGGAGACACAATTAGATTCCAATGGTTTGAGAGTGGGTCTGCATATTTTGATCTGTAGCTTTAGGTCAAGAGGGTAGTTTAATGACCTACTAATTGCACTGCAGCATTTGTCTCCAGAATTCTAAAAGCAGAAACTAAGACTTCTTTACTCGACCATCCAGGTACTACCATATATCCTGCCAAAAAGCATGTGTGTGATTAATGTGTGCTGTAAAAGCCTCAAGAAACATAAAACATAATTAAGAAAAACTTTATTCTTTCTTCACAGAACAAGTAAAAACTACATATAAAACACTGGAATATTTTTTTTAATCAGAGAATAAAAACACTAAGACAATTCAAGAATGTATTACGTTTCAGATTTTTCCTCCACTGTGTTACTCTGCAGAGAGTGGGGTTCTTCAACATTTTTAAGAAAATTCACTATAGTAATACTCTTTTCTAAACACAAAACATGAGGAATAAATCTGTTTTTAAGTTTCTCTGGCGACAGTGTTTTATCATAGTTGACTATTCGAATAGACTTATAGGAATAGGCAGCACAATCCTGAGTCCCAGCATGGGAGGGCATGGCATTAACTCAGCGCCTCCACAGCTGGTCCTTCACACAATTTAAATGAAAATTGTTTCCCAAAGGAAATCAGTGGTTTCAAAGTTCCAACAATCTACCATAGATAAGTTTAAGCTTATTGTGCTCAATGACACCCTCATCATATTCATTTTTGATGTTACATAAATGTCAGAAAAGAAGTTCAACAAGTTGTTTATAAGCTGGCAGAACTAGTGCTTGAAAATTCTAATAGCAGAGACTGGGGTTTCATCATGTTAGAACTAGGACATCTCTACAAACCTTTCCAACAACCACACAATCTACTAGTATTTACTAAATTACACTCAATAAACATGAAGCTTAGTTGATAAAGATTTAAACAGGACTTCCAGGAATGCACTAAGAAAAAGTTTAAGACATTGAATTATCTGAAGCATCAAGAAAAGTAAAAAAAATGAATATGCCATAAAAGCTTTCTCCATTTTATCACCCACTACTGTGGGATTCTTTAACTCCTGCAAGAAAATTCCCTATAATAAAGCCTATTTTCGTAAACTGGGTGATCTGAAGCCTCAAACATTTATGGACTTGGCAGGAGCAACAGGATGCATGGCTGGGGCAAATACCCTTGGTTTGCCAGTAGAGACGCGCTTGGCAGAAAGCGAGGCTTGGAATTGTTCTATGTCCTCTCTTTCAAGATCTTCATTAAGATATGAGAAGTAGGAAGGACAGAGCCTATTGATCTTGATTAAAAACTGCATGATTTTCTCCTTGCTGATCTCAGCGTGCGCTTGGGGGCCCCACAGGAACTCGCGGCGTGGAAGAAGACAGCCGGGCACCTGCCGGTACTCCAGGTATTTCAGTCTCACAAAATCGTGGGTGAGAAGCCTATTGGCATTTCCAAAAAAGATGTGCTTCTTGCCGGGATACACGTGCAACCTATTCAGGAATTTCCAGATGTCTACCTCAGAAGTGCGGTGGCCTTTCATGAGGATCAGAGCAAGGGTTTGCATCAGCAGCCTGGTCTTGGGGCAGCGCCTGCCAGGACGAATCCTCCCATTGTTGGGGAGGCTCAGCATGCTGAAAAGGTTGTAGGAGTGACGGGTGGACTCCACTTCTCTCACTTCAACTGCGAAGACCGCCTCCAGCTGTTTTTGGACACTCTTGAAAATGCGAGGAAATTCATCTCTGTACTTTCTGTGGACCGACGACAGCATCTCTAACCTGTAAAAGCCTCAAGAAACATAAAACATAATTAAGAAAAACTTTATTCTTTCTTCACAGAACAAGTAAAAACTACATATAAAACACTGGAATATTTTTTTAATCAGAGAATAAAAACACTAAGACAATTCAAGAATGTATTACGTTTCAGATTTTTCCTCCACTGTGTTACTCTGCAGAGAGTGGGGTTCTTCAACATTTTTAAGAAAATTCACTATAGTAATACTCTTTTCTAAACACAAAACATGAGGAATAAATCTGTTTTTAAGTTTCTCTGGCGACAGTGTTTTATCATAGTTGACTGAATAGACTTATAGGAATAGGCTGCACAATCCTTTAAAGTTAAAGGACTGCTTCAAATGAAATCTCTTGAATATGAACCACCCCAATGCCTCTATTGGGCACCGAGGTTCATCAGACAAACAGTCAGGGCAGTGAGTGGCCTCACAAAGGCACTCCTCATACTTACAACTGGAACCATGGCGAGAACTGACAACAGAGCCATCTGTAGAGTGACCACCAGCAGATGGTGATCTCCTACCAGTTGTCAGGGGAGGGCTAAAGGAAGCAGCACTCCATGGGCTCTTGGAAAAAGAAGACTCCTTTTCCTCTTCTTGTTCTTCTCCTCCCATAGCTGCTGCAGATACAGCTGCTTCTGCTCCTGCTGCTTCTGCTTTTGTTGCTGGAACTCGTGTTGCTGTTTCTGCTGCTGCTGCAGCTGCGGCTTCTACTTCTGCTGCTGCTGCTTCTGCTGTGGGTGCTACTGCTTCCTGTGCCACCTCACTACCCTGTCTGTCACCTCTCCCCTGTGAACGTTTATCGCGGCGTTTGCTCTTGTGACCACGAGGCATGATGAATCTGGTTATGTACAAGAGGGAGGAGCGTGGGGAGGATGAATTTGCTGCAGGCACCTGGAGGAGGGAAATGAGATTGTGTGATCAATTTCAGCAGAGATCTCTCTTAGGCTTTAACCCAGGCTGCTTCTACAGGTTGCTGTGAGAATGGTGCACTAGGAACAGTGGACCTGCTTTAGGAAGTGTGTCCTTTTACTGGGAGACAGAGTGGGCCATAGGCCACACCATGATGTCCCTTTAACTGTTGTCCTGGAGTGATAAAAGGATCATACACTGAAGTCCTGTGTTCGTGGCTCTGGGTCCTCTTCATTTGCTAATGCACCTATCACTGAATTCATAGATGTCCAGTACAACTCACTTTTGCATCTCAGAATCTGACTTCTCAACCCCAAAAATTAACATTCTGTATCCCACATCCAGAGCGCAAGTGTGAAAAGGATTCTATGGCAATCATCATGTGATGGGCTGTGCCCCACTGAGTGTTATGCGGGGCTGGCCCTTTGTCTCATGGGCTTCTAAGGTACACGCTTCTCATCCAAAGAAATCTCCTGACCTCCAGGGACTGCCTGTTACTCTCTCTGCTACATGATAATCAAATCCTCACACCAAATATGCTCATGATTCTTAGATTTCCTATGATGCATGGACAAAGAGACGCAGCCTGACATCCTTTTGTTGTGCATGGAATGCTCAGTGTATGGATCAGGCTTCCATTCCCTGATGCCCACTCAATTATGTTCCTTCTGTGTATAAAAATAGATGATTTTGTTTTGAATATTTTCTTCCCAAATCAAACTATCCATTGAATAATACATTTTATTTATTCATTCAGCTTTTCAAATTAGGAGACACTGTACACTGTTTATATATATATATTGGTCTGATTTATTTCACTTATGAGTATGATCTCTACTTGCATCCATTTAGCTACAAAACTCTGACGTTCATCAATTTTATTGCTGAATAGTGCTGCATTATATTAAGCAACCACGACTTTTTTATGCATCAATGATCTGAGGAGCATTTGTGTTGTTTCCAAGATTTAACTATTATGAAACAGAACCTATCATAAAGAGTTAAAGATGAAAGTATTAATGAGAAAAGGGATCTCTTTTTCTGTCCCATTATGTACATGTAATATTATAATATACAGTATATAAATATATAATATTCTATACACATTGATATATATGTTTATATATATATATATATACATGTACAAAATGCTTAAGTGCTTAAGATAATTACACTGGAACTACCTCTATGAGGGTCATTGAAAAGAAAGGTTTGAGCTAACATTGTTTGGAGAAGGTTTAATGTCTATATCTTGTAACTTGATTAACTACTCTGATAATACCAATAAACCATCCATAATTATTGTTAACTATCCTATTATCTTGGCTGCAAATTTTATTTTCCTTTTTGTTTCTTTTAAAAAAATTCCAAAGTGCGTTTATAAATAATGGAGTACTACACTCTCATAAAAAAGAGTAACTTGACACATTTTTAGGTAAATGGGTACAGCTTCAGCGCATATTTTTAAGTGAAATAAATCTCACATTCACTTTTAAATGTATAAAAATACATCAATGATTTTATAGTACCTGCTTGTCTTTTTCTACAGATTTCAGGGTACTTTCTTTTATTTCTAGGAATATACAGAAAAGCTTCTACTGTGGACCTTAGGCCTTGGCATTTAGACAACATCCATCCCCACTATTAGCAACACCCCCTATCCCATATTCATGGAGGAAACTAGTGAGAGTCACAAGCCTATGCCTCATCCCAGGTTGCCAACTGTCCTGGGTTTCCTCATCCTTATATGGGGTGCTCAGGGTGACCCCTGAATAGCTGGAAAACTCCCTCATGCTGACTTGACGCTCCTCCCCTTAGCCTGAGACCCCCACGGCCCTGTTACCCTCCTTGTGGAAAACAGTCTGATGGTCCCACGAGAGTCTCCTAGAACTGACCACTGGAAAAGCTATGCCATCAGTCTTGTTGGAGCCGCGATCCCCTGAACACTGCCTGGATGGACGATCATCCCTGCTATGTTGACCCCGGCCCTGGCCCTCACTGCGAGGATTTCTGCTTTCGAATCACACGAGACCTCAGCTCACACGTGGCGCCCTCCATTTTGACTGCGCACTTCTCCGACGCCATATAGTCTTCTTGAAGGGCCCCTAAGCCCAGGATACACAGACTCCGGAGTTAGCAGGGCCTCCTTTCCTCCCCTGCACTAGAATACCCACTACTCTTCACCAAGAGGGTCCCCAGACCTCAGCCTGTCTCAGGCAACCTGTGCTCTTGGGCGCCCCCCCCCAACAGCCCCGATAACACGCGGTGGCTTTGTGAGGCGGGGCCCACACCCCCTTCCCAAGCCCGTGTTTCTCCCTCTCAGGACAGGTTCTCACCTCCTCAACCACAGCCTGGGTCCTTTCGCTGACTTTCGCTGGGATGGCAGCAGTGGGCGAGGCCCCTCACTTGCCAAGTTCGGCAAAAGGGAAAGATCGCTAGCGCCTCCCCTGTTTAAGAATCTGTGGAGGCTGACTGCAAGGACAGCCCCTCTGGTGCCCCCTCTTTTCGGGAGTGGAGAGCCGCCTCAGTCTCACCGCTGATTGGTCAGGGGCCCTGGCTCAGAGCTGCTGCTCCCTCCCCACGCCACGCCTCCTTATGGGGCGGACCCACGCTGAAGAGACCCTCCTCGCAGAGTTAGAGTTCCTTGCTGACCTGGTGTTAGGGAACCTTTCCGCCAGTGAAGGTAAGACCCTGCCTTAACTATCATAGTACTGCATTGGTTTTTCTCAATCATTTGGTTTCAGGATCTCCCTCTTGGCATTTTTCATTTTGATCAAAGGATTTCGGGAAAATGCCACATTGCTGCAAATTCCTTAATATTGCCTCTTTTCAGATATTTGGACACGAGCTCTTTATCTCATGTCTGATATTGTATAGGAAAGCTGAAATACAATATTGTGTATTTGGAGTCAGGTGTGTTTGTCAGAGAAAACACAAACCAATCTTTTTCTTCCATTGATCATCGTGCTCAATGTTTGAATTAATTCTTCTCTGAAAGATTTATTTTCTAGTGTAATATGTGTACTGTAGATATTTTGGAGAAGTAGCAGTCTTTCAAAGAGTCCTGACAAAGTTTAGACTAATGGTCATATTTTAGCAAATATTTTTCCTTCTTTTATACAGATACCACTTATACTTTTATACACTTTGCTCTTACAATTGATCAAATATGATACTTTGACAAGAAATCTTTTAAAAAAAAATCATATCCTAACCATATATCCATGTATAAATATTACATTGTATATAGTATATCTATTTATTCATAGATATTTATATATACATATATGTATATATATAATTCATCATAGGTAGTAGAGTAAATATAGTCATGATCCACTTCAAGTTAGAATTGCATATATATATATATATATATATATATATATATATATATGGGAAATATATAAATATCCATGCATTTTATATCACATATTGATACATTTGCATACATCTTTTTATTTTAAAGAGCAAAGGTACAGAAAATCAATAATCTAACAAAGGAAAAACAATAAAAAATGCCAACAATAAAAAAGCAATAGCAATATAGGATTTCAAAACAAGATGACAGAAATTTAACATTGTATGTTATACTCAAAATTGTTGCTCAGATACGAGATACAGATATGCAAAGTTCATCAAACAATATGAACATTAACTGTTCTTTCCAATGAACTAATAGAATTAGTGCCTGACTGCCTTTGCTATCGTGTGTGTGTGTGTGTGTGTGTGTGTGTGTGTGTGTGTGGTCCCTCTTCCTTTTCTTTTTTTCTTCTTATCCCCATCCCAGTCCTTTCTCTTTCATCAGTTTCATTTCCTTTTGCTATTTCTACAATAACTTTTACATCTTACTTACTCTTATAGTTTCTTACACTATGGAGACAATGCTTTGTTTACATATGTGAGTCTGATTTTTTTTCACTTATTTTTATGGTCTCTAGTTGCATTCATTTACCTATGAAAGCTTCGAGTTTATCCTTCTTCATAGCTGAGTAATACTCCAAAAATATCACATACTTTTTAGCTGTTCCACAGTTGATGAGAATTTAGGTTGCTTTGAAAGTTCGGTTACTACACATTATGCTGCTATAAACATCGTTATATCACTGTAATATGAGGTTTTCAGATTTTCTAAGAAAATATCCAGAAGTGGAATAGCTGAATCTAATGAAACCAGTAATCCTAGTTTTTTGAGGAAATTCCATACTTATATCCACGGTGGTTCTACCAGTTTACAGTCCCAGCAACAGCTAAGAAGAGTTCCTTTTTTCCCCACCCCCTCTCCAGCATTTCTTATTGGTTGATTTCTTTATGTCAGTCATTCTTTCTGGAGTGAGATGAAATTCCAGTGTTTTTTAATTCGCATTCCTCAAGCGACCAATGATGTTGAACACTTTTTCATATGTTTATTTGCCATTTGTATTTCTTCATCTCAGAACATACCCATTTTTTTTTTTTTGGTCTTTTTCATTTTTATCGGTACCAGGGATCGAACTCACGACTGCCTGCTTGCAAGGCAGGCGCTTATGCCGCTGAGCTAAATCCCCAGCCCGAACATACCCATTTTTGAATTGGGTCTTTGAATTTGGGGTGCCTGATATTTTTTAATTCATTATACTGTATCTGAGACATAATTGACAAAATATTTTCTCAGTCTATGGGTTTTCTTTTCACTCTGCTGGTGATTTCTTTTGACTTGCAAAAATTTAATAAGACAAGATCACAGTTGTTCATTATGTGAAGTATTTCCCATGCAGTTTGAGTTTTTCAATGAACTATCTGCCAACCACTACGTTTTAGAGATTTCTACGTAATTTTTTTTTCCTTTAGATTAAGTGTTTCGACTTAATATCTATATCTTTGATCAAGTTAGATGTTAGTTTAGTGCATAATGACAAGCATGGACTTGATTTAAGTCTTCAGCATGTGGGAAGCCAGGTTTTCTAGCACTACATAGACTGTCTTTCTTCAACTAAACATGTTTGGCCCCTTTGTCAAATATAAGGTGGCTGAGTGTATTTGTAGTCATGTCACAATCTTCTATTTTATTCCGTCAATCTTCCAGTCCATGGTTTTTGGCTGTACCATGTTGATATTATTATAGCAGCCTTGTAGTATAATTTCAAATCAATAATGATGCTTCCTGCTTTGCCTTTGTTGCACAGGATTTTGTTTGGCATTCTAAGTCTTTTCTGTTCCCAGATGTACTTTGGGAATGTTTTCTCCAGATCTCTGGGGTACACAAATGATATTTTCATTGGGATTTCATTAGAACTGTATGAAAGTTTTGGAAGTATGACCATTTTCCAAAGTTCGTTCTTCCTATCTATGAGCACAGAATACCTTTTCATTTTCTGAATTTCTCTTTAATTTCTTTTTGCAGAGTACTATAATTTTCAATGTAAAAATCTTGACTTCCTTTGTTAGATTGGTTCTTAAGTGTTTCTTTTTTTGGATGTTATTATGAAGGGTGTGTTTTCCCTAATTTTTCTCTCTCTCTCTCTTTTTTTTTTTTGTACAGGTATGCCATTGACTTTTGAGTGTTGACTTTATATAAAGGTATGCTGTTAAATTTACTTAAGTCTAGAAGTTTGCAGGAGGAGAATTTCAGGTCTTCTATTTAGAATATCATGTCATCTGCAAATACTGATAATTTACTATCTTCCTTTCTTATCCTTATACCTTTTGTTTCTCTCTTATCTAACTGATCTGGCTAGTGGTTCCAGGACTATTTTGAGTAGTATTAGTGATAGTGGACACACTTGTCACGCTCCTGATTTTAGAGTGAATGTTTTCAGTTTTTGTCTGCTTGGTATAATACTGGCTGTTAGTTTGTCATAGAAGGATTTTATCAGATTGAAATCAATACCATGTATTACAATTTTCCACAGGAATTTTATTATGAATGGATATTTAACTGTA